AGGGAGAGAGAGAGAGAGAGAGAGAGAGAGAGAGAGAGAGAGAGAGAGAGAGAGAGAGAGAGAGAGAGAGAGAGAGAGAGAGAAGAGAGAGAGAGGGAGAGAGGGGAGAGGGAGAGGGGAGAGAGAGAGAAGAGAGAGAGAAGAGAGAGAGAGAGAGAGAAGAGAGAGAGAGAGAGAGAGAGAGAGGGAGAGAGAGAGAGAGAGAGAGAGAGAGAATCGGACAGACAGCCAAACAGACGAAGCGGCCTCAAGCAAGAGCGTTGGCTTGGGACCCAAATCCTCCCAGCCCGAACTAAAACACATGAAGTGCACTGAAGCAAAGGAGCGAGAGATGAGAGGTGAGTGGCGTCCCCCGAGGCAAGACACAAAGAAGGGGGTGAAATTAACAGCAAGAGAGTACACAAGTCGGTAGGGAGAGTCTGCAAAAGGGAGACAAAGAGGACGAAAAAAATAATAAAACATTTCTGTTGTATATTCAGTACTTTGGTATACAAAAAGTCTTGTATATGAAATATCTACAAACGCAGACTAATGATCATGGTGGTTGATGATGGTGATAGTAATGGTGGTGATGGTGATAGTGATGCTGATGCTGATGCTAGTGATAATGATAATGAGGATGATGGCAGTGATAATGGCAAAGATAACGGCAATTATAATCATAACGATGATGATCTCATCTTACTTAGATCAACAATAACAAAAACCGCGAACAATACGGATGGTCATGACAAGAAAGCCGAGAAAAATAACAAGAAAACAAACTACTAATGACAATATTTATAAATGCAAGTAATATCATACAATAACTACAACCGTAATTGTATGGATATCGTCAATAGCAGTAACAGCAAGAAGAGTAACAGTGACAACAAAAAAGGAAATAATAACAAAGTATTTGCGATGACAGCAATCCAAACAACAATAACAACCATATCAATCACGGCAATCACAACCATGTCAATCACGACAGTAATAAAAAGACTGCTAGCCACCACGACAAACAAACAACAACACTGACACCACTTGGCCTCGACGGCGACAGAAAGATTAAAAGTAAATCAAAATAATCGGGGAGAGAAATCGAGGATGAAGACCGCACCTAACAAGCCATTATGGTCCATAACGACCCTGGCCGCTAGCTCTCTTTCCCCTTGTTAACGACCAGTTTCCCCTCACACCACGGGGTAGGTTACCGATCTTCTCCTTTTTATTTGGTTTTATTACTGTTTGTACTTTCTTTGTGATCTTAGTTGTATCTGCATTTGATCGCCACGGAAGTTGATTTATCAGAGTGAACTAATATGCATGAATCACTTCACGTATTCACAATGTACGTGTTTATCTTATTTCCTGTTCCCTGGCGTTCAATCTATGATATACCTTATGATAAGAGATAAAAGACTGAACAAGGCCTTCGAGGATGTTGATTGACGATCTGAGAACACGTGTATCTTGCCTAATCCCCGAGGGCCGAAGAGGTATTTCCGACAGTGATGAGGTGTTCAAGCCAAAGGCGCTGACGTCGACACCGGGGATGAAGGCCCAATTACCAGCCGAATTCTCTCGATGTTCAGTGTCAGCAACACTCGCGGACGGCGGCGGCAATCTGGCTCGCCTTAGGCTTCGAGGTTACATGTACAATGTGCACGTGTCAAGTACATAAGCATGTCTGACTACTTTAAATAATGTAAACATACACGTACAAATACTGTACACTCACGCGTGCGCAACACTCTCTTTAATATATAAAATAAATAAATAAATATATATATATATGTATATGTATATAATATATATTATATATATATATATAATACACACCACACACACATATATATAAATGTGTGCATATACATATACATATAAATATAATACATATATAAATACACATATGCATATATATATATTTATAAACATATGCATATATACATACATATATATAACATATACTTATATTATCATATATCTATATACATAATATATAAATAGATATACGCATATATATATATATATATATATATATATATATATATTATATATAATAACACACACAACACATATATACATATACATAACACACACACACACGCGCGCTGTGTGTGGTGTGTGTGTGTGTGTGTGTGTGTGTGTGTGTGTGTGTGTGTGTGTGTGTGTGTGTGTGTGGTGTGGTGTGTGTGTGTGTGTGTGTTGGTGTTAATGTATATATATATTTACTATATATCGCGCACCAGAAGAGAAAAAAACAAGTGCAAAGGCAAACAAAAATCCGCCCTTTGTTATCCTCGCTGGAAGGAGTGCCACTCGACGCGAGGAATGGCACCGTCGACCTCGGACAACTCCTCGACACCCCCCCCCCCGTCCCCGTCCCCGCCGACTCAGGCTGTGGCGGGGAGGAGAACAGGCATTTCCAAGGCGGGGCCGGCGAATATTTCAGCGGGTTTTACGTACGTCGTTTCCCCTGCCGCCGCTACAACCCGGCTTCCGAAGAATATTAAGG